CCCCCCCCCCCCCCTGCCCGGCCCCGGGCGCGCCGAGCGCGGGCTCCCCGGACGCCGGCAGGCCGCGCGTCGGACTGGCCCCCGCCCGGGGGCTGTCCTGTTGGATGGATGAGTGCCGCTTGTCAAGAAGGACCCTCGGATTTCATTCGTTCGCTCGACAGCGTTTATGGGACTGCCGGTCTGAGTTTCCTTCTCCTGTGGGGCTTTCCTCTCCTTGGTCTTCCGTGTGGCGCCTGCCCCCGCCTCCCCTGAGGGCTCTGCTGTTTTGAGAGAAACACACCAGTGAGAGCCGGGGCTCCTTCCCAGGAGGGACTCTGGCTCGCTTTGGTTTGGCATCAGGGTGGGGTTATTCTAGAGATTCCGCCCCATCCCCCCCTTCAGACCTCCCTCTTCCTGGCCTTGCTTGGATCTTGGCTGTTGGCGGCTCAGAGCAGGTGGGGTAGGGTGGGCGTGGCCGGGGGTGCCCCACAGGGGCCCTGACCCTGTGGCCATGTCCCCCTCTCTCCCGCCCCTGCTGCCCACGAGGGCCCCTGGACTAGCTGGGCCTAGGACCGAGGTGCCTGGGCGGACGGACGGCCTGTGTGGAGAAGCGGCTGTTGGCGGAAGGCTGGGTGTCCCTGCTCCGCTCACCTGTTCGGTCGGTCGTAATAAAAAGAATTCTCTCAGGTCAGCGCCTGTGTGTATCCTCGGCGTCTCGATGACCCTTGCTGAGAGTGCCAGGGCTGGTGCCAGACTGAAGGTGGCCTGCCTCCCGCCCCCTCGTGTGGTCTCTGCCCACCCCAGGCTGGGCTCTTCCTGCCAGGGCCAACCACAGGCTCCCCTGCTGACCCGTGTCCACAGCCTGGGCCTGCAGGACCTCGGGAAGCTGGGGGTGTGGGGGTCATGCCTTGTCTCCTGAGTGTCCGGGGGGGGGGGGGCATGATCTCTCGTGCTGTGCCTTCCTGTGCAGGTGGCAGGGACCCCAGAGTCTGCTCTGGAGTGGGGGGGGGGGGGCTTGCCGGCCCGCCCGGCCCCGGGGCTGCTGCAAGGGCTGGCGCTGGCCCGGCAGTGTGGTCCGAGGGGTGAGCTTAGGGGAGAGCTCCGGAGTGGGATGAATGCAGGGGCAAGGCCAGGCTTGGGGAGCAGAAGGGGAAGGGGTACCTGAACCCTGGAGTCGGTCGAGGTACTGTGTGGGCAGAGTAGAGAGAAGAGGGCGCCGTGCCCTGACATCTGGCCTGGGGACTGCCTTCTCTGGCTGTCGACGGCTGTCCTGTTCCTTCCCCCAACACCCCGTACACGGTGGGAGTCGTGGTCTCTGCGTGTGAGCGTACGTGTGTGACACCTGCATCTGCAGAAAGCTGTCCAGGACACACGTGGTCCGTGTAGCTCTGACTCGGGAAAGAGCTGTGGGATCCGTGGGCACAGCACTGGCACAGGGCCTCAGAAAGTCTACCCAGGAAGGGACAGGCAGCCAGGATGAGGAGCAGTCTGCACACCTCCCGAGGGCGAGGGCAGTGCCCTGTGCTCTCCTCCAGCTGGCTGGCTCTTTGCTGCAAGAGTCAGAACATCCCGGCCCGCTTAAGCCTCGGGGAAGCCTTCTCGCCTCTGCATTGGTTCCTTGGCCCGCACGGCAAGTGGCTGCACGCGGCGCTCTCGGGGCAGCTGGGCTCCGTGCCGAGGACTCAGCTTTCGGTGGGCGCACCCGGAGTGGAGTCCCCGCTCTGCCCCGACAAGCCGTTCGCTTACCCGCCCACACCCCGTCGTCAGCTCTTCCCGGAAAGCGAGAAAGCACACAGGACTCCATATCGGTGGAGGGAGAGGCTCGATGAAGGGGAGAGAAAGGGCCCTGGGTCAGAGCGCAGCACCTCGAGAAGCTGGAAGAGGAAGAAAACGTTTTGTCCCCACTGAGCCTCAGGGAGGAGCAGCTGTGCTGACATGGGATTGTCGCCCAGGAGGGACCATCTTGGACTTCTGTCTCCCAGAGCTGCGACGTAAGCCCCCAGGTTTGTGGTAAGCAGCCACAGCGGGGACAGGAAATAAATGCAGATTTCGGTCCCGGGGTGGGGTGCTACTGCAGCAAACACATAAAATTTAGAAGCGGCCTTGGGGTGCGGCAGTGGCAGAGGCTGGAAGGATTTTGAGGGGCACAGTGGAAAAAGCTTCGGTTTTCTGAAGCAAGACGATTGGTAGGAGGGGGCCCGGACATTGATGTGTCCCCTACCAAAGACCCAGGAGTAAACGAGGGGCGCCGTGGAGGAACCCTGGTGACTTCACCTTGAGGACTGCCCGGAGCCAGCGCGAGCGTCTGTCGGCAGAAGCAGGGATGTGGGGCGCTGCCGGCGAGGGCCCAGAACAGCGGGGCCCATGTCAGCGGGAACGGAGGCTGGATGTGCAGCATTACCTCATGGAAAGCTCCGCCGAGTTCTGCCCCTCGGTCGTAGGAAAGCAGGACTTGGGAGCAGTCCGCGTGGATGTGTAGCCGGGAAAGTTTCCAAGCAAAGTGTAGCTGCGCAGCGTCGTTTCCTGCTGCTCTGCTGCTCGTGGCGACACGGGGGAGGAGAGTCAGACGGAAGGCAGAGCTCTTGAACCAAAAGGACCTGGCACTTGACGGTTTGGGAACTTAGCCGAGCCAAAGGACGGCAGGTTCATGGTCAGAGACCATGTGCTCTAGAGAACAAGTTGAGGGCGCAGCTGGACAGCCTTTGGTTAATACCTGGGCAAGATGAGTAAGGTCAGAGCATTCAGTCCTGCGGAGGGCACTCGGAGGAGATTGTACGCATGACTGACAGACGCCTCCTTCCTCTCGGCAAAAGCCAAAACAGAAGAAAAGATTTTTTTGGAAGGATCTGGAGGCGCCTCTCGTCTTGTGGAGCAAATCCCCATGGCGTACACAGGAGACCCATGCCGTGCTTGAGAATCTCACGCACCAGAAACCCTGCCAGATGGGATGAGGGCGCATAGGGAGGAGGGAATCCGGCCCCGTGGGCAGGAGACACGGGGGAACGGGGAACCGGCAGCTGCTGGGCTGCCTTTCTTGAAAGAAAGCGTGGCCTGCAGGGGGAGCTGCGAGCCCAGAGGGGAGAGCCTTGAGCCACAAAGTTATTCCCAGGCCTTGCCAGCAGCTCGTGGGGTTTGCCTGGCTGGGCCCAGTGATGCCCACTTCCTTCCGCTGTCTCCCCTTCCACTTGTCTTCCCCCTTGGGGATGGAAATGTCCTGTGCCTGCCCCACCTTTGTATTCTGGAAGCAGGTAGCATTTCCTGTGTCAAAGATGGCACGTGGAAAGGGGTTTTGCACTGGGATGGATCATGCAAGTCTCACCCATACCTGATGGAGTGACTTAGGTGACGTTTGGGGCTTGACTTGATGCTGTTGAGAGTTTGGGGGACCTCAAAGTTTGGGGTGAGTAATTTTCCATGTGAGGTGGTTGTGCGAGAGGGCCGTCTGCAGGGGGCAGAAGGAGGTCTCCTCCAGACGTCCGCACCCTAGTCCCCGGGATCTGTGCGCATGTTACCTGCACAGCAAAAGGTTTAAAGCTGCAGACGGAGTGAAGTTGCTAGTAAGCTTGAGACGCGGAGATTGTCTGGGCCCAGTGTAATCACAGGGTTCCTTAAAACTGGGGGAGGGGCAGAAGAAGGAACCAGAGCCGGAGGGCGGGACGAGGGCTTGGCCTGGTGCCCCTGCCTTGAGGGTGGAGGAGGGCGCTACGCAGGGGATGCAGGTGCCTCCGGAAGCCGCGAAGGACCAGGAAACAGATTCTCCTGCAGAACCTCCAGAAGGAGCCAGCCCTGGCCAGGCCGCGATTGTAGCCCAGTGAGACCCACTTCTTGACCTGCAGAACTTGGTAACGATCGGCGTTGAAAGTTTGCGCTCACTTGTTCCGGCAGGTGGGAAACTAGTACATCTTGAAGGTGGGCCCGGGAGCTCTTGGAGGGTCATTTTGAGGGCGCACAGAGATGGCCTCTGAAGGCACTTAGCCCAGGGCCCGACACCCAGGATGAGCTGGACAGACGGCAGCATAGACTGCCATCCCACCTGAGAGCCCCGGGCGGGCGCACTGCCCGGGTCAGAGGCAGTGCCCCCTCCCTCGCCTCCGTCCGTCCCAGCTGCCTTTCTCCTCCGGCCGGCATCACTGCCCTGATGCTCCCCACCGGTCCTTTCTCTTCCTGTCACTGGTCATCTCCTCCGCTCCCTGCTAACCTCCAGCCCTTGATGAATCACACCGGCAGAAATTCGACTTGATGGTGGGGAGTGGGGTGGATCCAGGAAGGGGAAGCATGGGGGTGGGGGGAGGGGAGAAGCCACAGGGTGGGGCTGGTAGCCTGGGGTGAGGGCAGAGGGGAGTGGGCACTGAGCTGCAGGGCGAGGGAGAGGCGGAGCCACTGGCGAGGGCTGGGCCGCTGCTGGTAGTGAGCTCCCTGGCGTGGGAGAAGTGTGAGCTGGGATGCTGTAGCACCCTTCCCCGAAGCTGGGTTGCGGGACTTTGAGGGTGCGCCCCCC